GAAGAGGTGGGAATTAAAAATGGATAATGTTTACTTGAGCATTATTTGTTATTTCTATCGTAAAATATAAAGTAGTTTGTAACAAAAAAAACTTAAGGGTGACACGCCGTCCATTATGACGTCTTGGGTCACATGAAAGTCAGATGTTGATGGTGTGTTGGTATTACTGGATGCTACTTCATCATCACTTTCATCTTCGCTTGAGCTTCCGTCATCAGGTCGATCACATGGTAATTTTTTCGGTATTCTCCCTCAACACTTTACTGCACAATTTTCCCCATTCACCTTCTCATATCATATTTACCTTTTCGTTCACTAGTTTAGTCATAAAACAATAGATATAAATAATTTTTGTTTCCTTCCTTTTTAAAACATCGTCGCGAGTCGCAAAGTAAGCTGTGTATGCGACTGTATTTTTGGAGCGAACAAAGCGCGTGAACCAATAGCATGCAGGCACAGTAATACTGGCGGATTGATCCCCCGTCGCACCCCCCTCGTACCTATATGTGATAAATCGCTCAATGCCCAAGTTCAAGGCCAGCGTTCTTTTTTCACCGTTCGCGCGTACATTAACCTCCATTAGTCAGGTGATATCAATTCAGTTTCCACTGCTGGTTTTATGTTTCAGTATTTTCATGATTTTTTTTATGAAATTATCGATTCATTTAGCTGTACTAACATGATGGCGCGTGAATAAAGCTAATAAAACGTTGTAAAAATATGATTTTTTTTTCATCAGGATCAAATTTATTTGTGACCCATGATCAAAGGTATACTTGGTGCTGTCGCCTGTCTTAGTTTTCGGGAGCGTTCCAAAAATACCCTGTATATACAACTAGCTGTTCCCCGCGACTTCGTTCGCGTGTTAGGGTTTTTATGTTTCTGCGCGGAACCTTGATTCTTTTTTTAAAATAAAAGTAGCCTAAGTTACTCCTTATGAAATCAGCTATCTGCCAGTGAAAGTCCCGTCAAAATCGGTCCAGCCATTTCGGAGATTACCCGGAACAAACAGACAGACAGACAGACAGACAGACAAAAGTTTTAAAAATTGTATTTTAGTTATAGGTATCGTATTTACTTTCATATGCATTTAGTAAAAAACTGTAATTTTGACATTACAAACAGACACTTCAATTTTATTTATTTGTATAGATTATTTGTATAGATGAACCAGTTATGAATATCTTAATGTGTTTAATTAAAAAAAATCATGATTTTTTTTCTTTTTGTAATCCTAAATTGAACATTGGCAATAACGAAAAAAGAGAAACTTCCATCTAATAAGGTGAACTTCGTACTTTGTAATAATTCAGTAGCAATTTTAGCACACTGCAAAAACGAGCGAAACGAACGAAAATGTACTGCTATTAAAAAAGTTGAAGGTAGAATCCCTTTTACAAAACCCACTTCAACTAAAAGTAGGTTAAGTTCTGGTTCAATTAACGGCATTTAAAGTGGTTTAAGATTTATTTTTTCATTATTTATTATTAGGTAAATATAAATAACCAATTTGTAGTGGTGTAAGAATATCCGCTGCCCCATATTGTCTCGTGGGTGTCATAAGAGGCAATAAGGGGTAATAATATAATATATGGTGATAAACTTAAAAAAAATTCAAGAGCAAGGGCTATGCTTATTAAAAATAAATCCTCATTTTTAGTTTAAAGTGGTTTATTTATAGCTTAATATTACCGTTTACATTAATATAAATCCAAAAACAGATAAGTATTATTTGAAACCAATAGAACATTAATTAATTTCAGCAATAGCTTTTAAGATGTAACCGTAAATGTTATAACGCATTATACTCGTAAGTTCATCTTAGACTGGTTAATGATGGGGCAGCTAAATATCTACCGAACTACTGTGGGGGAAAAGGTCCTAGCGTGGTAGCTTCTTTAGTTTTTATTATTTTAGAATAATTACATTTTTAAATTAAAATATTATATTGACAAACGAGACGACAAATTACAAAGCTATAGATATTTGACATTTAAGCCATACAAGAAGACCCAAAGACCACCCAGAGACCCACTCTCTCTCTCTCTCTCTCTCTCTCCCTCTCTCTCTCTCTCATTCTCTTACCTAGAACACAACAGTGCAAATAGTAAAAAAATAGTTTCTTGTTTAGTTTTATTTAGGAAGAATGGTATGAAATACGAACCCAAACGCCCCTAAGGAGAAAAGGGGCCACAACTACTCGTAAATTGTAAGACGCCTTAAGGCTTACCTTAAGGTGCCCTTATTGATTGCACACCCTCTCAAAGCATATAATATATTACTCAGCCATGTAACAGTTAGGCCGGATTCATCATTCAATTCGGTTCATTATCGGACACTTGTAAACAAAAGTAACAATAACATTTGGCCCTGACAGTAAGAATCAGGTTTATATATCTCACGTAGTTACTGTTTAATTTAATTTTTAGTATTTCCCTTATTTGCACCTTGAAATATTTTAAAATTTTCAGTTCTGACGGTTTTCTTACTAGATATACTGTTGTCAAATTGCAATTAACCGTCTTAGTGGTACTGGCGATGGTTAACTCGGGTCTGTCGCTTAAATTATAAAATTTAAGGCGAATAAATAAATAAATAAAAACTAATAACTAAACCTGTGTAGGATTAAGTAACCATTATCGATTCAAAAAAGAGTAAATTAATTCCTTTAAAGTAAGCCGACTTGCTCCTATATCCATTTTCGGGTCATAATGTAACCTTCGAATTAACAACTAGGAGTTATTCATGCGACGTCTGGTACGGCGGTCGTCAATGTCTGCCAAACGTGACAATTAAAGCAGGTCTCGCTACACTGGCAGACGCTTCATGGAATGTAATATACAGCAGTAAAATTGAAGCAAACGGTGCATATTTCTTATTTTATTTTGATGTAATTAAAAATTTAGGAAGTTTAATTATTTATTTTAAATATTATGTATCGAAATTAAAATTAAAATGTGTTATTTCAATACATATTTGCGCCATGATAACGACGCGTTTCAACTTAGACGATCTTGAGATAGTTGAGTTTTAAAGCATAAAAGGCAAAATTTCATCTTGAAATCGGGTTCCAATGAAAGATATATACGAAAACTATCAAACTTCGTTAATTAAAAGATTCAAATTGATGATAAACCTATTCAGATTTATAAAATCTAAAAGTAAGTTGAGTCTCAAGATACCAAGGATTTTTTTTTATAATAATGGCAAACCAACGAATAGCACCCTTATTGGTTTTAAGAAGTCATCACACATCCTCCTCATTCACTCATTTAGAGTGCATTTTTTATCTATAGGTAGAGCCTTATAGTAATTGCATAATATTCTTATATTTTTCTTGAAACAAAAAAAAAACAGTCCAGTTTTGAAAGGGGACATAGGGTAATACGGAATAATGTTTATGTAAATTTTCCACGTGTAATCAGTCAGTGCTACAGTTGTCTCTCTCGGTTGCCTGTCTAGGTCGTCGGGTACACCACGACAGCAAAAGGTCGTTAAAATATATTCTCTAAACTTCACGCAAACCAGATATCCTCTCAAAAAGTACGCCTAAAACAGATCAGTATTTGTATAAATTTATTTTGTAGGTACGATTATATATTGTGAAAATGACGGTATTTTATATGCATCTTGAAATCCACGTTAAATGTGTAATTAAAAAAAAACCTAAACATGTAACTTTCATTGAATGTTGGTTTGGTCAGTTTTAAATACATTACCTTGTTTTCCCTCAAGACAGAGACTGATTATAGCGTTTCATGCAACGCTTAAAGCAACGAAAGCGAATGTTTTTAGTTTAGGCGCACTATTATAATTATGATAACAGGCTATTATCATGTCCCTAAAAATATTGCCAGATCGCTAAATGAATTTATAATCTGGACTTTAAGCAGTACGTGTCTTACTAGCATGTGTATATATTTGAAGTAATTCCGACAAGAATCCATCTAGAATGTGATATGTGATCACTGATAATACAGAATTATATACTACATAATTATACACTTTGACCTTTAGTTACAATGTTACAAAGTTGCTTCGCATTACTGAGTATACATTCACGTTAGATCATTATAATGTTTTATTCAAATTGATGGAGCTGGTGCTTGGTACTTAGTCAACACCTTAATTAAAATTGAAGGACTACAACGCAAGCCTACCCGATTTTGCAATTTCTAGTAATCTACAAATGTTCCTAAATAAATATAATTTATTTACAAACTTTATCAGCTTACTACAGATTTCATTATGTTTATGTAAAACATTGTAATAATTATTTATTAGTATCATAGATGATAGGCATTTTTACCCAACCGCAAATTAACTAAGATTTTTTTAAATAACCGATAATTTGAAACAAGAAATCGAATATACCGCGAGAGTATATTCGATTTCTTGTTTCAAATTAAGGTTGTTAACACTTAAGCGAGTAAAATAATTTGGTCGCAGAAGTCTACTTATTTAGTTTAATATTATTTTTTAATTAAATATATTTTTGGTTAATTTACAACCAATTCCCTGCAAGTATTTAAAATAGCAACGTGTGCAAAGATATGTCAAAAGTACAAGATACGTAAAGACTACCGTAATTTTCAAACTTTTTTTAGAATACGTTTGCTTGGGACGTATTTTAAAAACGCTTAAGCTAAAATAATATCCGTGTTACATAAATTTGTACGACATAAATAGCAAAGCCTTACACCAGGCATTAAATTGACGTATACAGGCTTCACTCACTAAGTCCACAAGAGTCACATTTTTTACCGAAATAAAGGTAAACTTCGTATGCCCTGACACTGACTTGACATGACGACAAACTAAAATCTTAGTGGAATGTCCAAGAACATCTGCATGCGTTTGCCGATGTCGGCGACGGAGCGATCGTCTAGTTCTTGTTAGCTGTCGTAGGATGGGTCTTCAGCATCGTCCTCGTCGAGTGGCTGGCTGGTGAGCGCGGCCCAAAGCGGCGAGCGTGCGCCGAGCTGCGCCGAATCTCGCCGTTAGCTATCGCGAGCGCAAGCCGCCGCCGCTGCTGCCGCCGTTCCTACTGCACCTATCGCACTGAATAATATCGTACCCACTTCTCGGTCCGGTGTAATGTCCACCTGAAAATAATATCTAGGGTGTAACCTGTCCCATGTCAGTGTGGGACTTAAAGGCCTCATGTTTATGTGACGAAAATTAATGTGCTACCTGAGTAACTTGTATAGCATCTCGTAAAATATTACTAATGGGATATTGAGTTTGTGATTGCGAGAGCGTTGGGCTAGTAACCTATCACTTCTTTCACAATTTTCTATCTATAAACGTGGTAGAGCCATGCTGCAGCTATATTAATAGTATAGTTGTAGCACGAATGGGTCGGCTCGACCGGGGAAGGACCACGCTCTCACAGAATACCAGAGTAAAATAGCAGTTTAATGCTGCTGTGTTTCGTATAGTGAGTGTAGAGAACCGGAGACCCTTTTTACAGGATCAGAGGCATTCTACCTTAGCCTGCATTTTAATTCGCAAAAGAAGATAGATGTAGATGTCTATGGACCACAGCAACCACTTACCACCAGGTGGACTGTGTGCTCGTTTGTCACCCTTATTCTATAAAAAAATATATTTATCATTGCCTAGTGTAGTCCGGAGTGGCTCGCTGATCTTTGAACTCTGCCTAGCCCCTCGGTGATTACAGGCGAGTCGTATATATATATATATATATATATATGTATGTGCAGCTTGTTCCCTGTGCGTCAATGTAATAAGACTTAAATATAAAACTTCATATTTTTATCAACATGATAAATGTTTACTGTTTTAATAATATCTGTAAGAACTCGTACTTGGTCTTTTTCTTTTATTTTTTAATGTAGTACAATACAATACTCTTTATTGTACACCAAGAAAAGATAACAACATCAAAAACAAAAAATAACATCTAGTGAGGGAAATACAAAGGGCGGTCTTATTGCTACATAGCAATCTCTTCCAGACAACCCAGAATATGACGCTGCTGATAATTTGAAACAATATATCTAATAAAAAAAATCTATTATTATTTCATTTACTTGAGAAAATGTAGTTTGTTCAGGGTCGGAACGCTCTTCTAGTACGGTGTCGAGCTCAAGAGTTGGTAATGGTCGAGGAGAGCGCACTAGACTCACGGCACGTACTCGGCTCTTCAACGGCGACAGTCGCACCACTGATAATTCTCCACGATCTAATTCGCAGTTACGACGTCTTGCTCGCTCTCTACAAATATCATGGTTTTTAAATGGTCAGCTTGGGGTTCGAGATAATTAAAAACTGTCGAGAGAATTACCAAAATTGACTATTTAATTACACAACACTAACTACAACTTAAAATCACACTAATAATAAAACACAGTTCGCCGTTATTTCGCTTCGAAGTATTCTCTTGTATTGCCAATTCAATACTGCCCCGGTCGTGGTCGATACCGGCCTTATATAGGGCCTCAGATAATTTCCAGAATCTTCTACTGCAGCGACATCTAGAATGTTCGAGTACATATCGGTCCCGAAATTCTTGGAAGGATCTTGACTCTCCTAGTTGTGCTACTCGACACTAGATGGCGCTAATGTAACTAGTGTTACCATGTACGAGACATTAATAGTGGCGCGCAGCAATATTTTATATAATATAACTAATACAGTTAGGAGATAGAAAGCAAGTAATATAAAAAAATTATACGAAATAAAATGAATATTAAAGGAAATAATATTAAGGGAAAGAGAATTTGGAGAGTGCTCAATATGTCAAAGGTAGAAGACAAAAGTTGTTAAGCCTGCAGTTTTATTTTTTTTCTCTTTTTGATTTTTTCTTTTTCTTTTTTTCTTTCTATCGCTTTAACTTAACAAACTTTGAACAAACGTTCAAAGTTTGTTAAGTTAAAGCGATAGAAAGGATCCTGCACTAGGGTAAAATATGTGACGAAATTATAGCTTACGAATTTTCTTTGAGCTTATATGGCAATTCGTAGCTGTATATGGCAATTATTCCCGAATTAGTGCAACCAAGCCAACCTATAATGACCTTGATATACCGGCAAAGATATAGCTCAAATATTAACCACCTATTATAAAGTTATTGTTTCATTCCTTTATTCATAATAACCTATCAAAAAAAAGAAGCTATTGTGGATTAAATTTTCCAAAGTCCATATTATGATATATCTCCACTTGACTAGGTATCTACAGTCAGATACTATGGATGACTGAGAGGGAATGCCTTATTACCAGTGAAAAGAATTTCCAGTTCTCATAACTTACCATATGAATCAGCCTACCGTCAGTTAACGTTGGTATTATATGTGATCGTGGTCTCAGGTTAAGCCGAATCATCCGTACAATTCATGGCCAATAATCTTTGAAAGGTATAAATTAAACAACTAATTCAGAAGAAATATAACAACCTAATAGTGAATTGTATGGTTTACCTGATTTTCTGATTTTCTGTTGCCGGAAATAAAATCATACACGATTATGCGTACGTTTTTGTTATCAAATAATTTTCAAATAAGTTTACGTAGAAGGTTTAAAATAACAGCATGTTTAAAACATTACCTGGCTAATTTTGCCCTTCGTCTAAGGCAACAAATAACTGTTAACGCCAGTAATGGAAATCCAAATATACAGGAAACAATCGGGATGACTATTGATTCCGGTGAAACTAAAACAGAAATTACCGTGATAGTCATTTATGAAGATTTGTAGTTAAATGCTTATTATGTCTTAATCGTAATTTGGAAAGTAAATTTGATGGAGATATATTATTTTACGTCAAACACGCTTTATCTTTTGACGGTGCAAGTTGACAAACATACATATTATTTTTTAATGTAAACATTTAAAATGATTGATAATTTACTGTTCATTATTTTACTTCTTGTTGAAATTTCATTGCTGAAAATAAGCCTCATTTAACCCTACTTATCTTAATTTAGAAGCAATATTTTTTGCACCATAATTTTACAGTTTCCTGATTAACGCTTCGTGTCCCTTGGAAAGATTACAAAAAATACACAAAGCATGCTATTAATTCTCTTAGGTATTAAATATGTATTTAATGGGCTCAACACTGGCTGATGTTGTCAGTTGTCTTACCTAGTTTGAGGAGCACCTCTCTCTTTAGACTAGGAAAAATACAACCATTGTATTTTAAAAAGCTTTAATTCGACTTTCTTTTTTTAAATTAATAATCAATTTTTGAAGCTCTTGCGAACTGAGCTGACAGTAACTGCCATGACAATTAAATAATATGGTGTCATGGAGCTGCTCTGATGATAGCCCCGGATTCCGGCCATAGCAACGATCATAAAGGCCTGTTTATAAAGAGATTTTTTTATTTATTTTCATATTAGGCGTAACTCGCCTAGAAATAAAATCTTTTAGCCTTTAATTAATTCTTTATGATTTGAGAGAAGGAGCATGTCTAAAAGGTTTTCCTCAGCACTGTGGTGTTATTCCAATTAATATTATGTCTTTACTATGGGATTTGATACAAGGCAGGATAAATTTTTGGTGTATATTTAAAAAAAGATTCTTATGGACCTTAACTAATTCATTTTCACACCTCTTTAGGTCCATTCATCCATTACAATCTATGTTAATCCACTTCTGAACATAGGGCTCTCCGTCGATTGCCACAGGCCTCTTGGCAGGCGAGTTGGCAACCGCAGTTTTTATACGTTTACGATAGATTTTTTATATTGAATATTATTATTTAATTATTTACGTTGTTTTAAGTATTTCATATACATTTTATTTTTTGCATTACATATAAGACTTACTAAAACATATGAGTAAAATGAGACTCACCAGTTGGATAAATGATGATGGTTGGTCTTTTGTTTCCGTTTGTGTTGGACTTGGCGACCGACCCAACGCTAGTAGCGGCTGTTGTGGTCGTAGTGGTGGTGGCCACATTGGTGCTCAGTTGAGCAAGCATTGCTAAAGAATCTGTTGTTCTCAATCGTGTCATTGTGTTCCATCTAAATATACTATGAAGATAAACGTATCATATTAAAAAAGTTTCTATTGAGTGAAGATCATGTTACTCCTACCAACCTACTTTCTATTAATTTGACATAATTTTCAATAAAAAATTAATAATATTAGTATCATATACGAGTTAATAGTTCTCTTCATAGTAAATGCCTACCAAGGAATATATCGCAATGCCTTACAGCCAAGGATATATCTGACTTTTGAACGTTATACAAAACTGTTATGTTACTGAAATGACCTGCTTAATGACATAGGCGATTTATAATAGAATTATTATATTATTGAATCATTCATAGCTAATGCAATTTTTTTCCTTTGGTGATAGTGATATCAACCTTGATTACTCAAGCGTCGAACATTCACAGTATCTGTTCGCTATGTAATGACCATAGACTTAGAAAATACTGGCGTAGTAATCATAGTTTACCTCAGCTTAACTAAAAATAAGTTATACTCTCTAGTTTGTGGTGACTTGCATAAAGCCAGCAATCGATATTAGCCGAAAATAGAAAAATTAAATTGGGTCATACCTATTATTTAACCTTGAGCCGAACAAATCAAATTCTGTTACTACTTTGTGACAAGTTATTTTAACACACATGGGTAATTATGTGTCTGTTTTCTGTAGCACTCACTCCCTCCCCCTTAAAATACTTTATGCATTATTTTCGCTTTTATAGTTGTAGTGCTCGGATATTTTCGAACTCATTAGCACGAGTGCTTTGAGTTTTTACCTTCTTTCACATATGCAAAAAAATCTCTAAAATAGATTTAAAATTGTGTTAATCAGGGGCTATTATTTCGTATTTTCGTAAGGCGACCTGAATAGTTTTAAAAATATAACTGAAATTCCAGAATCTGACTGTAAATCAACTTATTGTATCGCACAAATAGTTGAGGTCAGAATCACCTGCATTTGGGTGAAGTACCCCCATACATCCATTCAATATAGTATCGCCCTATATTGCATTAGTTGGTAGGAGGCTGCAATCTAAAAGCCTCTCTTCTTTAGATAGCTAATGAAGCTAATTAAAACTTTATTGATCTATCTATCTATTAAGAAGATATTTACTCCAAATTAAAAGTTTTTTCTGAATACATATAATCTTCCGTGTAAATAACACATTACATAAGAAGTCTTGACGACTGGTACAGGTCATGCAGTGCGATTGTGTAACTCTGGAGAGAATTCTCGTTGGCATCTAGTCTAGTTTCTGTGATGTTAATGCTGTTAGCCTATGCGGCTCTTACAGCTTCATCGAACTCGTTGGCATCGTTGAGACGTTCGATGTTTGGTTTTTTGTATTGTATAAAATGAATAAGTATCGACTATAAGCCGATGTCTTTTTGAAAGGAATAGTTCTTTAGAATCGTTGTGATTTGAAACTCGGTAAAACGAAAAAGCAACACTAAAACAGACGAATGTATATATAAAATATAGGATTTAGACTGCGAGAGAATGAAATACAATACAGTATATAATTTCCTATTACCTCAGTCTCCTCTTTGTGCGGTGCTTTAAAATGATTAACATATCTTTTAACTGTTAAAATAAACAGTTAAAACGTAACAAATTTAATAAATAAATAAAATTAACCATATTGAATCTTAAGCAATCTATTCATAACAATTCACGATTTCATAACTTACTGATTTATATTAAAATAGTCGTGTTTAAGCAACCAATTTTTGTTCGATAATATGACTTTATCTATAGAGCGAAGTAGTTTTTACGCTATTACAAAGCAATTTTATTCGCAAATTTTTGAAGGTTTCACTACTACAGCGTGTTAACTGCACACATGTTTTTTTTTAAATTAACATTTCTATTAAACTCAAAACGTTATCATTATTTAAAAAAAAAACGTTACGTCATATACCGCTGATAATGATTCTCATCAGAGTTACACGATTACACTGCTGAATTTGAATAGCCAGAGCCAATATTTGTGCAAAACATAAACTGTTGCTTAGCTGTTTAATTTGTATTATGATTGTTACCCTCGTCACTCCAATTTAATGGAGAAAGCATTATATAGGTTACAGGTGGGTTGGAACTCCTTTCTGCACATCAGTGTGAAGCACTTTAATGCCTTTAGTGCAGTTGACAGCATTAGCCAGCATACGGAATGGGTCATCTCAACCAAATTCGGTCTGAAGGACATCATTATCATAAAGAGTTCATTTGCTTAAATCAACATTTAATCACCATTAAAGTTTATTAGCTTTAAAATTTGTCAAGAAGATATTTTTTGTTGGCCAGTAATAAAATAAAATACAAATTTGGATACTGGCAATACAATACGTACGTAAAATATGCAAAAACGAACAATTGAATTAAAAAGATTAGACGCTGAATTAAATAATTGACCTGATCAATAATAAATAAGAGCCATAATCAAAGTTACTAAGGAACTATCAATTCTATCGCGATTTTAAAGTTTTATTATTAGTATATGAAAACACAAGTACTTTACATCTTTCAGTGAACTAACTGAACTAGAAGAGGTATTGCACTTGAATGCATTTGTATTGCACATATGGTGGAGGAAAACTTCCTTCTCCTTTCTAAAGTAGGTTAAGCGAACTTTTGCTCTATTAATACCCTGCATTAAAATTAATTTCTAAGTATAGGTACGGTGCTATCAATATAGAAGCATAATAATATATGTTAAAACTAATGATTATGTCCAATATTAATAATAAACCTAGAAACAAATCTATTGAAATAAAAATGCATTTTCCGTCTAATTCTGTGTCCATTATATGTAATAAATATATTGGCGGTAAAAGGTTAAATATTACATAAAAAGTTTTTCCCGTAGAAATCTGTTCCTGTACATGCTTAACATGATACTTTTGGAATTATTAAATAAAAATATTAAAACTGATTAAAAAGCCTGCATATTGCTATATCTATGAAGAACACTTGGATAATACATTTTTGTTATACACTAATTATTACTATCATTACCAAACATTTTATGTATTACTGTAGTATTAATAAACAACGCGTATTCACGTGAATACTGAAATTATTTATAACATTGAAAATCGCATTTCGCTTTAAACTTACCAATTTGATCCGATTTCATGCACTTTATACTTTTATTGCAGTAAATTTGTTATTTAATTGAAGAAAAAAAAGCGAAAATATCCGCGTATTTTTTATGTTTTCTGACTGTGTAAATATCCTAAGCACTTTTTTCGACGCTAGATATTACGAAAAATTTCGCGGTTTTAACTCGGGGGCGGCTTCGTACAAGCGAGCTTTCCCTTGTACTCCCGCCGCTACACTAAAGCTCGAGCTTGACTCGACTTGATAGAATGGAATTGAAACAACCGAGCAGTTTCAGTGCATTTTGTCTAGCGACCCGAATTCTCCATCTTTAATAATACAAAGTCACATTCTCTGCGTTCAAATTTCGTTTATTCAAAGTATGCCGATGTACGAATGTAGAAGACGCCTTCTCTCTTGTATCCAATGTAGCATTTGTGAGTATTCAGACTTGGTTCAGAGAAAATGGAGAAGTAAGTCATATAGTATAGAGTAAAAAGCAGTGCCAGTACAGAAAGTCTACAAGTAAATTTAGAAATATAGCTTTCGTAGCCGCCGTGTTAAAGTATATGAGTTTTGTCGAGGTTTTCTCGTTATGAAAATATATGCTTTTGAATATATTAGCCCCTTAACTAATGTAAATTAAACACTGAATACGCTTATAATGTATTTTCTAAAGAAGTGTAAGTAAATCTATATTATGTGCTGAAAGGCCTCCCTCAAATTGAATGTTCTTATTATAATCGCTAGGCTTGGCATTTTAATTGGTGACTGCAATACCGAACGCTTCATAGTTCAGATGCTAATTTACTTCAGCAGTCTTGATATTTAAGGTTTGATAATTTTTAAATATATGCAATAAAGCTTAAAGCTGAAACTTTTAATTTTAGATTTTTTAATCTATTTATGTTAATTATAATAAAAATCATTATTTAGTAATGTTAATATTATTGAACAGTTTAAAAACATCAAATACCTTAGATTTTTTTAATCTAAGTGAGGGTAATAGCAATGATGAACACCAAAGTAAGTGGATGCTGTGACATCATAGCTGTGGTATTTTCTGACATTTGTATATTTATTTATGTCACATGTACATTTATCGGATATAACTTTAAGAATATAATAAAGCATTTAACAGACTCGTTTTAATAATTTTAGTTTTATGGTTAGGGAAGCATAATATTTGATGTTAGGAAATTAAAGAAAAGACTGAAATAAATTTGTACGTAAATAAAAAGATGATGCATTTTGAACTACTAAGTATGTAGTACGCCAAGTATACATTCCATTACCCTTTTTTGTCCTGTGGTTTTCGTAAGAGGTTATTTTAGGGAAATGGTAGAAATAACGATCCCGTGTACGCTATATTCAAAATACCCAGACTGCATACCCAGTAGTGGACTTTTACGGCTGATGATGAAGAAAAAAGGTCCTATGTATGGTCTATACCTTAAAGTATACATAAGCAAGCTATAGAGCTATATAAACCCATTACCTATTATGTTAATTTCTATAGATACAAGCTAAGAAACATAGATGTAGCGGTTGAATAATGATGCACCAAGATTGACGCCTATGCGTTATTGTACTTACGTTAATAGTTTAATTAGGTAAGTATTTAGTAAATATTACGTGGGCGAGTAATAATAAAGTCGCCCTTGCAATTTTGATACTGTTCATACCTGTGCTTACTGTACGCTGACGCGCGCTCTATAGCTTACTTATTTATGCTCTAAGGTTTATACTGATTAAAAATATTCTTTCTGTTCTACTGTGTTTGCTATTTTGAGGACTATCATGGTACCTAAACGTACGAGTAGTGATTACTTTATGACGCTATAGCTATGCAGCGTGTGTACGCCTGAGTATCCAGTTTAATCATTTTATTTATCGAAAATTTTACTGTTTTATAG